CTTAGGCAAGATTTCTCTGGCATTATGGCTTTGTGTTTTCCTTCCTTTGACTACAGAAACACAATTAAATCCAGGAAAAGTCAAGCTAATAAATCCAGAAAGAAAACACAATTTTTGTTCAATTATATTGTTTAGTATTTTTCCCCTCAAATATTTTTTCCCTTAACAATATACTGGATTTTAGACACTACAGGCACTTCCAAAAAATTCCCAACAACCTCTGACACCAAGAATAAGGGCACTGCTTATCACTTGCATTTGAACCACTGTATTTGAGTTGATAAAACATCACTGGAAGCAAGCATCTGAGCAGGCACACAGACATCTCTGTAATGACAACCAAAAGGCTATTCTCAATGCCTAATTTTTTTTGTTCTTCTTTCCCTCCATGCTTCCAAACAAATTGCAAAACCATCCCTTTAGAGGGAAGGGTTAATCAAAGAAACATGAAGGAAACAGATGCTAATTCCATAGCAGGCATCTCCCAGGCTGTACACGGGGAGACACTGCCAGGGAAAGTGCTTTGCTTGCCCTCTCAGGGGGATGGCTGGGAGTAGAGAAGTGTCACCACCCACCCTTGTGCCAGGTCATCAACACTGGGGTTGGACTGTTTGGCTTGGCAGGACTGATTTTTAGCCAGAACATTCCAATGGTCTGGCTGACTCTACCTGCAAATCCTACTGCTTTCATGAGAGAGGCAGTAACAAGAGGCAGTAACAGCAACCCAGTCCAGACACACACACTAGAACTAGTCCACAGTTCAAGCACAGTTAAAGCCCCTCCTAAAACTGTACTTGGGAATAGTGCACCCTGGAGCAAAAAAAATAAAAATAAACCCAAGGTCCTAAACTGTGAATAAATAACAATATCATGTGTATGTCATGTATGTTGTGGATCTTCAGTCAGACTTCCCAGTTCAGGGATCTTGCCCTCATCTGTTCATGCTGTGTCACTGCAAGTTTATGCCTTAGAATGTGTCCTGGCTTATCTCCTGGCTATGCTATTTTCTGCCTCTCCATTCCTGAATAAAGCTCTTACCATCCCTTTTTTTCTTTTCTTTTTTTTTTTTTTTTTTTGTATGAATCAATCAGAACCAGCTTTTCTGCCATTCTGCAGTTCTCTGCAAACCTTTTAGATTCACTCACATTCAGAGAAACATTTCAGGTACTCCTGTCATATTTAGTGTCAGCCCTCATTTTTAGAGTCTTAGGATTGTGGGAATTTCTTCTTTTGCTTTTCCTTTAAGGTTGCTTTCTAGAACTCTTGCTTGTAAAGAAACTCCCGATGGTGTCACCTGTAAGGAACAGATGGCAATTAATTTATTTTTAAATAATGTACGCATTAAGCTATTCTCAAGAAACCTACAGCTTCTGAACCGTGGGAGATGATAAATCAAATTGGATACTTATCCTTCTTCCCTCAGCGAGTGCTTATTTCCCCTCATGAATTTCATTCCTTTGTCTTTTCACTCAGAACCCTCTAAGGAAATCCTTGCTAACATTCAGCTCCTTTTCTTACTTATGTCAGCACAGTTAGTTACCTGTATTTTCAAAATACTTTTTTTAAAGACTATTTGAGATCCTGTATAGATAGCACATTGGACTGAAAACATTGTATTTTATGACTGCTTATGCAATTTTAATGTCTTTTTTTATTACTTTAACAGTCCATCAAATAATGTACAGCCAATATTAAAGTTGACAAGAATTAAATGTCATTTTGAGTCTTCCAGGTGGATTTTAGACAGTGGATATTTCGGTTTTCCTGCCATATCCTTTTGTCTGCTATAATTCCGAAGGCATTATTTCAATTTCTCTTTTTCACATTCTGTATCTCCAGGTGACTGCATTCTGTCTCCCCAGTGTTGTTTTGTACTGCCCAGGAGCAATACCTTCTGTTCCTCTTTTTTTTTGCTTTGCTTGTTACTTAGCACTTTCAAAACTCTGATCATCATGTACCATTTGCATATTACTTACGCTGTTTTGCAAAATCATAAAAATGACCAGCATTGAAAGAGTTTGCAAGTAGATAACCCCAAGCAAAAGGTGAAGAAAACTTCCGTAATCTCCGAGATCAGCTGGAGCTGATCAGCTGTACTACTACCTTTAGGCTATACTACCACCCATCGGCTTAAAGTAGCATCAACAAAAGCAGCCATGTGGACAAGGCCTCTGCTCTGCCACTATAACACAGCCTGCCACAGCAGCTCAGCTCCTACGGGGATGTGAATCCCAGCCGTTTAAAACTCCGGATACCTGAAGGATTTAGCTGCAGTGGCTAGAAAGATTACTGACCTCCATTATGATCCTCTTTGACCAGAGATATATCTGAAAGGGATTTTGGCTTTTCAAGGCAGGGCTTCGGTCTGGGTACATAGGATTTTCTTGGTAGCTGGTCCAAGACTAGATTTCTTTTCTTTTCTTTGAAAACTGAGGGAGTTTAAAAATGTCATCACTTAAAAATGTTTTCTATTTTTTTTCTTTTCTTTTTTTTTAGGGAATCTTAAAATATTTACCAACTCCAAATATAAAGTACTTTTCATAGATGAAGACGCAAGCTCTTCTTTCTCATTCTGGAAGGTCTTTCACTCAGGATCACTCTCTACAGCTTATGAGCTTAGTATCTGGAAACAGTTCCTGTGCAGGACAGAGTCCAAATTAAGTTTGCTACTAATTTCTTAGTAGTGCAGGTAAAACCCCTTAACTTTGATAGTTATTGTCAGCAAAAGTAATGAAATGCCACAGGTTTTGATGTCAATGTAATCTAGTGCATCTTTAAACAATTTATTATATTTTTTGGTCAGATAAATCATAAAATCTGTTTCTTTTAATTTCCATAATGTGCATTCATCTGTAATTTCTTTGCACTTTATTGCAGCACTGCTCAAGTGGAACAAAATATGTCGGTCCAAAAATAATTAAATACAAATATCAATCTTTATGTGCCTGCTTCAGCCATAGTTTATCATATAACTAAATATTTATATAAGACAGATGACATTGATTTTTGTCCAGGAGCTATGAAAAATGTAGACTTCTGACATTCAGTCCAATCTGCACAGCTTGTGAATAGAGCTTCTGCTACATATTTACATACATCATAGAGTAAATGATGTATGTATCTTTTAGAAAGCTGCAGCATTAGTTTAAATTAGCATTAGGCTAATGCTAATTAACATTAGCCTAAAATGTATGTAACTATAAGAATATAAAAACTTTTACCATTACTTCTGCTAGGACTGCTTTAAAATGTTTGCTTCATGCCATAGAAGAATAGTAAGATTTCTGTTGATTTTAATAATTTGATACTAAACATTAGCTCATTTCACATGCTTGATAACCAACCTTTAGCAGCTCAGCACAGTAATCACATCCTGCTTCACATCAATTCGAGCTGAAGACCTCTTCATGTTAAAAACCGGTAATAAAGCCCTACAGTTTCTGCCTTGCATCTTGGAACTCAAACAAAAAGAGAAAGACAGACATTGTGCAATGAAAGACACAATTATGGATTCCTGGGTCTATGAATATTGGTATCAGTGGATTTTGAGATTTAGATTTTATTTACAGCTGGCAGAAACAGTAAATATTGAGCCTAATTCACAATATAGTTTCTGGTTCCACACTAATACAAAGTAACTACAGCAGACAGAATAAAGGAATAGTCACAGTCTTTCTTTACTCAGTGTGAACACTTGAGATTTTTTTGGTGTAATTCCTGCTTGTGAGACTGATCATGAATGAGGAGACAGCCAAGGTGGTACAAACTCAACAGCAGAGTGCATGTGTGCATTTTGTCAGTGTTATGAGGACGTCTTAATTTTACAACTTTTCTAGACTATAGCTCACAGGTGAACTGTGACCTTGCTATTCTGTATCATGTATTTAAAAAAGCCACACTTTATTTATTGTCTGTAGTTTTATAGTATTTTCTTAATGAATCTTCCAGGTACTGTCCATTATTTTCAGTAATAAAAAATATTTTGGACCATTTCCACACACAGAACTATACTAACTACAAGAACTGCATAAATTTTTTTTGTGGTGTGCTTTGAAGATACAGCCCTTTTTTTTTTCATACAGCTGTTTAACATAAACTCCCACTTCAGAATATATTATTTTTTTCTCTCATTAACATGAACAATATTGTAAGACAAATACTCAGCTGTATAAACTTACTGAAAACTTTATTATTTAAAATATTATCTGTTTAAATGCAACTCCATTTTGGTTCACCTTAGCAGAGGACAAAGCTTTTATTTGAGCAGTTGATTCATTTAATTAGAAAGCTGTTCTAAAGTTATCTTTTTTTTTTCCATGTCAGCATTAGTGCACTTGAGAGTATTTGACTGTAGCTTTCTGTTGGTACACTGAGTTAGAGGTATGTACTTTCATTAGATCTCACTGAGGGATAAACCTTCAAGCATTATTTATGCATAAACTGAAAGGTACCACACTTTTTAGAAATGCAATTGTTGCTGCAGTGAAAAATCTGAATAGTGAATTATTTATGAAAGTGAGGAGTATGGGAGGTGGAAGAGGAGCCCATCTTCAATGTCATGTCTGTTCCTTTCTGCATGTTTACATACAATTATTTTTTTAGACTCTTTATGTTAAAATTCAGGTAAGTTTTACATCAAGACTGCTTTTGGAGACTACTAATTCTGACTTCATGATCTTTGTTTTCATTTTTACTCAATGTTGTTTCAGATACTGCTTACAACCCTGTCCCTTCTGCTGTTTGGAGACAAGAACATAAGCTTTTCAAAGCCTTATCTATTAATATATAATCCTTGCTCTGCAAATCCATACCCTTTTCTGTGCAGACATACTGTTTCCCTAAAGCATTCCTTATTCCTCCAAAATCTGAATTTTGGGTATTTCTAGTGACAATTTATGATTAACACCTGCTAGGTATTATATGAGGCTGTATGCAAAAAGGTTGTCAGAAAGAAAGGGGCCGTCCAATACTGTCCGGTGAAATGCAAGACCACAACAGGGTTTAGATAGCTATTAGTTTATTGACAATATAAATTGCAATCAACAAGTCCCAGTAACCACATGGAGAGTTGTGAGGGAAAAGAAAACAGTCTGGTGAGGTGCCTGACTAAGGCTCAGTCAGGCACATCCCTGCCTCAAGTTTTCAGCATGTTTGTTTTATATGTATCTATAGATATAGATGTATCTATCTCATGTCCACCTGGCTACACATCAAACAATACAATGATGCACTAATCAGAGGCTTGGTCACTGTGATCTGAGGATCGTCAGTGGGAGCGGGATGTTTGCTTTGTGAACTGGGACTAGGTCATGTGGATCAAGAGTTGGACTTAATGATCTCAGAGGTCCTTTCCAACCCAGCTGATCCTACGATTCTATGATCCAGTCACATCCCTGATGAGCTTCCCCTTCCTCCCCTTGCAAATAGTATACCCCAATGTGGTACATTTCTCTGTACAAACTGCAGGGACCAGGCTTCAAACCTTGGAGTAGATGGTTTTATGCATAGTTTTTCTTTCATCTCCATCATTACATTTAGAAAAAACCCAAAATAACAACCATCCTTGTGGTACAGCTATTTTACACTTGCAGCAGCACAAACATTTACGTGTTAAAGAATTTATATATAAAAGTATGTTTCCTATTATTTTCCTATAAAAAAAAATTAATGGCAAAGTATTCTTAAATTCTCTCCCCAAAATAATCTGAAAATTTATATGGTGTTTTAGGAAGATTTTTGAAATAACGAACACAAACAAAGATTACCTGAAAATACTGCCTGAAGGAAGACAATGAGAACCAGAATGGCAATATGTCATCAATAGTGCCCAGAAATGCCACTGTTTTGAGGTTAGCATTTCTTTTGTTCACTTGGCTGTCTCTGTTCTGGCTGATTCACATTAATCCCAAAGCAAAAATCATCAATAAGGTGCTTCATTAAGACATGGAAAATAGTCTTCAGTCTTGAAGAGGACTGGAGGTTCATAGAGAGTCTGTTGTTGACGCGAGGAAGACGATTTCTGAAAATCAGACAGGTTTATTTTTTAAAAAAGTATTTTAAAACAAAGCCTACAGAGCTAAAATGCAAAACAACAGAAGTTCTTAAGGTGTACCTCCTTAATCAAGTGAATTCTTAACCATAGCTCAGACGAGTCTGGCATATTCTTAATGTTATTGAAGAAATGCAGGTTTTGATACTTGCCATTCCAGCACCTAAACAGACTCAGTCCTGGAAGGTGTATGATATGCCAGTGTTGCAGGGGTCAAACTGGTATAGTTGTTGAAACCTTCATCCTCTCAAAGCCAAATACCTTTACCTTTTCTGCTCCAACCTTCGAGTTCTCTGCAGCCGCTTCTTTTGAGTTAACCCTAGGCCTGTGTTCTCATTTAGTTAGTTAAAAAAGTCTTCATATACAAATACACCTAGTAGATGTTGCTGTCAAGAAGGCTGCTGCTCCTGTTGAGCTTCTTCATATGACACACAGCTAAAAATAATCTGGTAGTGGACTGGAAAAGAGCTGCTACACTGTTTTTCAGGAAAAGTGTACATGTTTCTTTTAAATATTAACCATACATTGTTTTGCTATACCAAATGGCAGGAGACAAGGACCACTGCTGATTACTGCGTCAGTCTTGCTGCATATAAATAATGCTGCAACACAACACAGACCCAGTGTATGTTTTCAATAAGTGGCCTTAAATAGAATGCTATCTAATAAATCAAGATTTATTAGAGTCTTCACCAACAATAAAGTTAAAAGAACACCAAATATTATTAGCATACTTGGAGTTTGGAATGCTTTTGCAATACCAAGATGACGATATAAGTAAGCATACCTACAAAACAGCAAAGTGGAATATTCAGTTGAACTGTATACTTGTACTCCATATGACATAAGCACATAAACTCCTGTTATATACAAAATTGCTGATTTATTAAATTATATGTTGTTAACTTTATTATAGTATTAATTTCTCTAAGTTTGTTTTGGCATTCAAGTTGTGATGAAATTAAAAATTATAAACAAAGATCTGATCTATAACTAGTAGATATAATCAGTGTTCTCAACACCACAAATTTTTGCAAATGCAAAAGTAACATCTGAAATCAAAGTTCTGATTTTTAGAATCATCTCCTATCCTGTACTGTCCTATCAGAAAACACCTTGCAAGAAAGGGAAACTAAGGGCACAGGTCTTCTGCAACCCACTGATTTAAGAGGTGTTATATTTGCCTATGTGTAAGAAGGGGATAATTTCAATCCAGTGAGGAAATTCATAGGCAGGCACAGTACCTACAGTTGCCTAAGCACACATTTATGATTAGTTATTTTTGCAGCTGCTCAGTAAACATTTTTATCTTTTCAGAGTCTACGTCCTTAGTGATACTAGAAGTCTTATAGTACTGTACTTTACACTGACTGGTATTCACAAGGGAAGAACTTTGGGCAAAATCTGAAAGTGAGATTACAAATACACATCTTGAGAAGTACAAAATATATCCTTTTTATAAAGAAACAGATATATTTAAAGGGAAAGGGGGGGGAGGACCTTGACTAAATTAAAACTGCACCTGGAAAATACAAACTACAGCTACAATGAAAATCATGACATGAGAAAAGCCTTCTTTTCCAAACCATGAGGAGAAATCTCTATAAGCATTTTCATTCAGATATGTTTGTGTTTACTAGTGAAAGCAGGTATTTTAGTATGCAATATTCAGTAGCACTGCAGAACAGTAACCTGCCTTTTAGCTAATCAATTAATGCCAGTAAGTTCTGAGTGGTTTTTTATTGCTATCCATACTCAAACTAAGAAACCACTGGACATGACAGGTTCAGCTTGCTGACACTTCTTAAGAGTTTTCTCGTTATCAATTGTGAAAAAACAGCTAAGCTGATGAAGTGTTCCCATGCACCACTGAAAAAGAAGGCACTTTCTTAGAACTACCAAACTTTTCAATTGAAGATTATATTGCCTTGGTTGATAACTGTTCTTAGGAAAAAAAAAACAAACAGAAAACACTGTTGAATATTCTTGAAGGCCACTTATGTAGTTGTTTGTTTTTGTAACTGGCCTATAAATAGCAGCTTTGTGTTGCCTTTTTTTTTTTTTAAAGAAAAAAATGACAGCACTCTAAACTTAAACATCAAGGAAAATGAAGGAATGAGATGAGAAATTAACTAACTATGCTTTAACAGTCTTGCCTGTACAGGCTCTTCCTACTTGCTTTGCATATCATCAGAGATCAGGGGTGCTTCAGTATAAAGGCTTGTGCATTATGTGCTTGTTTGTGCCCTTCACGTTCCTTTCTTTGTGTCTCAGACTTGTTTTGCTAAGTTACACAAATCCTTGTAAGGAATTGTGATTTTTAAGTTTGGTTGTGTTTTTTGTCTTTTAATTAAGCCTGAAAACTTTGTAAAAATCCTAATGAAGTGTATAAAAGTTAAATTCAGATGCATATGTAACAAACTTACTATTAATTTAATAATCTGCTTTAGTCAGTAGAGCAACTAAGCTGGTCACATGGTAACTAAAATTTACTTACATTAAGGAAGGATGGTATGCTGATTGTGTGCAAGATTTTCTTGAATGTGCTTGGAAAAGCTCCAAGGTCTGTTTCTGCCTTTATGACCCGTTCTTCCAGTCCAGCTACGCTATTTCCAATCATTTTCACAAAAGCCTAGTGTGAAAGAAAACCAACAGAAACAAGACATTTTCACTAAAAAAACAGGATTATGTATTGCACAACAGTGGTGAACGATCCATTACTTAAATGAGGAGTCAAGAACTTCATGCTCCCTTCCACCTACAAGTCCATGTTATTGCTAAAAATTACTTGAGACACTTAAAAGGCTGAACACCAGGTTAAATCTAATAAAACAATCAGTCTTTCTATTTACCTGTCAAGTAACTCATCTGGACTTCTTAGAATCTAGACTTACTACTACTAAAAGAAAGACCAAGGATCTGTATCACAATTTTGAAGCTTTATCAGGAATCAACAGACCTCTCATTCTATTTGTCTCTGAGGACAGTAACTTTGAAAGACTATAAAAACTGCCTTGCTTTGAGCAGTCAATAAACAAAAATCCTTTTTTTTTTTTAAATAGATGTTTTAAAAAAAGATGTTAAAAAAAGATCCAAAAATGTTTAGAATGCTTACAGTGTCCAGAAATTATTAATAAATTGTGTTCTCGTTATTAACCCTGAAGTATTGAACCCAGATTGGACATGGAGAACAAAACTGGCCTGAGCCCACTCCACATGCATGCATGAACACACACACACAGACATGGCACATCATTGATTCTCCCCCCCCCTTGTGTTAGGAAACAGAATGCATCTAGAGATATCAAATACCTACCTCTAGTTTGTCGATCTTCCTATATATCTGCCTCATTTCTACTGCTTTTGTGTAAATTTGAGGTATACTTTCATTGACAACTTGAGAGGAATCACTTCGAATCTAAAGACAATTCAAAGAAATAATACAAAAATCAATGAATGAAACAAAGCGTTTAACAGATTTCATTCTGGAAACTAGAACTGTGCTCCAATCAACAGATTAAAATTCAGAGTTTAAAACCACCAGGTTAAAATCAGTACAGAAATACTAGATTAAAACCAAAACACTAGCTTTTTTGTATAATTTCGAAGTAATTTTGAAGAAAATTTATTTTGCACAGGCTAATATTTACCTTTATAATTATATTAAAAGTAGGCTACTACATCTCCTTAGAACTGAGATGGAACATTTTCCAAGACATACTAAAGAAGTAGACATATTAAACTAAAATTTTTACTTAAATTTTACTACCCGTACTTTTCCTCAGGTTTGTTAAAAAAGTCAGGACAGAAAGTCTTGGTTTACTGCTATTAAAATAAAAAAATCCTAGAATGAAGTTCCCCTTAGAGTTGTGCAGAACTACATGTGCTACATGTGCCTGTATACCAGTGTCAGCTTATAGGAACTCTTCATTCAGCTCCCCCATCTAACCCAATGCAAAAGTGAAAACAAAGCTGCCTTTCTGATAAGAGGGTCCCCCTCTAGCTTTGGAGGTTTGGCAACTCAGATTAGAACCCACGGAGTGTACCTTTACGTATTTTAAAGGAGAAGCAGAATATCACATTGTTCTTTCAAACGTGTCATTTCACCATTCAAAATGGGATTCTCTGTAGGTACATGGATAAGTATACAAATAAAGCTATGTAAACATGCAGCTAGGAAAAAATTCTTTGCTGAAAGGACTGCCAAGCACTGGAACAGGCTGCCCAGGGAACTGGTTGGTGGAGTCATCATCTCTGGAGGTATTTAAAAGATGTGTAGATGTGATGCTTATGGGTATGGTTTAATGTTGGACTTGGCAGTGCTAGGTCAGCAGTTGGCCTCTATCTTAGAGGTCTTTTCCAACCTAAACAATTACATGATTGTATGACCACAAAGCTATATGGCCATATTTTGCTCTGACATGAAATTTGGCAGTTATATCCACAAGCTGTCTAATTACCAAATGTGTTTTCATACTGAACCTACCTAGACAGAAGGCTTCTTCCTCTCCGTGTCTTATTTACACAAGCATTAATTAAAAACGCAACTACATGCAAGTTACACATACCATGTCCAGCATTCCCACGAATTCATCCACTCTGGTCAGTAAGTCTTCTAGACTCTTGTCTAAGCTTTCTATCTGCAAAACAGAAATCCTTTAAAGGTACTTGAAAACACGAAAACCAGATTCTCAGAAATAACACTACCGAGTACAGACATCGTCCCCATTAAAACGAATCTCACAGAAATCGCGCAGCTTTCCCCTCCTTGTCTTTGTTGAGCACAAGGGACTCGACACACCGGTACGTCCTGTCCTGCACAGCACCACAGCGGGAGCGCGCCCGGCTCCAGAGGGCTGCGCTCTCAGGATACCCCCTCCCTTCCCGGCGCCGGGCCTGCCACTGCTCCCTGTCCCCAGGACCCCCCCCGAGGGGCCCGGCCCCTCGCCCACCTGCTCGCTGAAGAGGCTGCGGTCAGCGAGCAGGTACGCGGAGTAGGCGGCGGCGGTGGCGCTCAGCGACGCCTCCGAGGCGTCCTCGTCCTCCGGCTCCCCGAGGCCGGAGGCGCTGCTGTGGCTCTGGGACACGTTCCCGCTGTCCGCGCCGGGGCAGGCGCAAGGCAGCTCGGCTCCGCTCCCCTCGCCCGCTCCGGTCGCCGCCGCCGCCATCCCACCCCCCGCTCCTGCCGGGATGGGCCGTCGCGGCCGCTCACATGACAGGGGCGGGCCGGCGCAGCCGCGCTCCCGGCGGGCGGAGCCGCCTTCCCAACTCCGGCCCCCGCGCCCTGGGAGACGGGAAGCGGCCGCGCCGGGACTGAGTTCACGTATCGCCAGTGTCCGGGGACGGAGTCGCGCCTGCCTGTTGGAAGCTCAGGCCCTGCTGTCCCCGCCGCCTCTCGGAAGCGTTGGGACAGAAACGCGGCTCCCTCTCCGGGAGCGCTTATGGAGGATTTGCCCTTTAAGGAGGGCTGGCGCGCCTCTGTTCCCTCAGTCGCCCACCTTTACAGCCCAGCTGGGCAATTTAATCTCATAGCCGAAGGGGTCCCGGTCTGTGAAGCCCGAACAACTCAGACGCGTTTCCATGCAGATTGCTCTGATAACGGCCTGAGGTGGGAAGGGAGCTCACCGTGAGAGGATAATTGGTGTAACACAGATTCAGGCATCAGCATGGGGCATTCAAAAGAGAAGCTGCTTTTTCCACCCCCCCACCCCTCCTCACCCCAAAACGTTGCACAAAATGTCTGCAAGCCTTAAAAGTTACTTCACAAACTGCTGGCTCTAAAGCTGACACATCAATACTTGGGTGTTCTTAGTTTGTAATTCATCTTGGGTACATGTGTGTGAAACACAAATTATGCTTCTTATCCCCTCCGATGAATGAGGTAGAAGAGTTTGGATAGATTGTACTGCACGGTTTCTTTGGACAGTGACATCCAGAAGGCTCCAGGCAAAGGAGTGCAGTGCAGCAGCAGATCACTAAGCCAGAGGTATCCTAGGCTTTTTCTGAGGAGTCAGAATTAACCCTCAAAGCCCTGAGGTTTGCAGCTGGCCCTGCTATGAGAGGGTTCCCAAAGAAATCAGTGTAACAGTACCCTTTAGTAAAAGCAGTACTGGGAAAAAAAACATTATGGAAAGAAACTCAGTATCACTGAGATCAAGCAGCAGAATCAAAGTCTGTACTAATACAGAGAAAATCATTACTAAAATGGTTACATAGATGAAGAGCCATCCAACCCAGATACCTTGTTTTCACAGGATGGGATATACTTCCACATCAATGCTTGAGCACAGGGAAAGAATATAGCTTAGAAGTAAGACAGTGCACATTTTATTGCAGATAGGTCACATTGTCATCAGTTAAATAAGGAAAAACAAGTAACTTCAGCCAGACAAATCACTTATTCATAAAAGTAGTCTTATTTAAGGTGTAACAAAGTTTTCCTGATAAGATGGTCTGATTGACTGAAGCATATTCAGCTATTCTTTTTTTTTTACTGCACCAATAATCAGATTTTTTTTAAAAATGAAAAACCTTTGGTAAAGTACAAACACAGTTTTAAGACGAACAGGATCAATGATCTATTCTTACTGTGCCAGTAAAAATAAGTACAGCTCTATAGCTGCTTTGATACCTAGAAAAAGTTTAATTAGAGTAAGTGAAAGAATTTTAAAATAAACTTTTAAAGCAAATCTAAAAGAAATAAACTAAGTTCAATGTCCCAAAGATATTTAACAATGAGCAGAAGACTGGTTGTTCCACAGGTATTCTAAATTAGCAACAATGAATTAGTCCACACATCCTTTTTCCAGCCATTACAGATTCCAAAATGGAATGTAATTTCTTCAAACCAAGACTTCTGAATTTTCATATTCATACAATATTTAAGAAATGTCTATTCCACCATATAAAAAAAGCTTTAATGTACTACAAAGTTAAAAACAAAGAGCAAATGACACAAGCTAAAAATAGAAAAATACATTGTAAAACATTTATATTTTGTTTCTTACACTGATGGAGATATAACAAAATATTTTGGATTAAATCACTTTCTTAGACTCATGGCATTTTCAGAAGCAGACAGGTAGTGACTCAACAGTCACTGGTCACCCAATAGTCAGCACCCAGTAAAGGTGTCTGACCATCACAAACATCCACTATATTTTAAGTTTCTAGAAATCCTGTGTGTAGACGTTAAGCTTTATTACTAGAAGAGTCCAAAAATAAGTTAGGTTTGAGACTCAGTCAGCATCCCCCTCCTGCTCTGTATGGCAATCAGCCAATCTTTTGTAAGGAAAGACCTTGTGGATTTAGGTGGCCCCAAAGGTACAAGGGATTGTGTCAGCTCTGAGGTGAAGGGGACAGTCCTAGCACACTCTTCCACTTCTGCTGCTTTCTTGCTTGCATCTTTAAAAATTCACGTGAACCATGATTTTGAAAAAAAAAAAAAAAGAGAGAGATGATGGGGAAAAAAATCAAGAGGTATTATCTAATAAATATCGGAAAAGAATACACCACCACACAGAGGCGCTGAACCCGCCGTGTCTCGGTGCCTCCACGCGTTCCCAGCGCTGGCCCGCAGGTGGCGACCGTGCCCCAGCAGTCACGGCTACATCCCTACACACGGCCGCCTCGGGCCTCTAAAACCACTTATTTTTTTATATATAGAATCTACAGTTTCCTTTAGAAAATGTATTTGCAGCATCTCCCAAACGTTGTTACCACCAGAGTAGGAAACAGCTACTTTTATATAGAGCTCGTCTGGATTAGACATAAGGCTGAAAATATGGTGTAAACAAGTTAGCGGAAGGGCTGTGTGTAACAGTAGAAGATGGGATGGCTGTTAAGCAGCACTCCCTTTAAGCCAGTATTAGAAGAAAACCAGGTTCCACTTCAAATAGACATGTCTGTTACTATTAAAATCTAATTCATATACATGCACGTATTAATACATCCACCCATGTATTCAAACCCAAGTATGTAGCATTGCCATGGGTAGGCTGTAAGACTGCTTAGATTTATACCAACTAAAACAAATTTGTGTTCTCACTTCAGGGCTGGGATATGAACCAGATTTTGCACTCTGGCTTTCTCCCGACAAATTTTGCAGTGCATGACAGTTTTATGTCTAACTCCAGATGCCACGTTTCCTAGAAAGCAACAATTTTCTGCACCCGTGAGGTCTATGAGAATATCAGCTCCCTGTTTTGTGCATAACATGTTGCAAGAGTTAATTGTCCCAATTGGCACTTAAGACTGTAAGGAGAATTGCAGAAGTTGGTACTAAAGTGTAATGACTGTTCCATCCTCCTCAATACCTCCTCTGGGGATAACCAGACTGTGTCGGGGGTCAGTTTTTAAGGAACTGAGTAATTTGTGGATGTTGCCATTGCTTTCTCGGCCAGAGTTGTTGTTGAGCACCAGGTCCCTTTGAAGTCTGTGGCTAAGGCTGCTGCCATTGATTCGAGAGAGGCTACTGGAAGTAAGGCTGTGCAGTTTAGGAATGTGCTGTGGCTCCAGACCACCCTCAATGACAATGTCAGCCTCTTCATCACTCTCCATTTCATCAGGGTGGAAGTTCTGCAGCACATGGGATGTAGGCAAGCTGTGGTGACTCGCAGTGCTGTCTGTAGACTGGCCAGAGCTACCAGACATCCTACTGCTCCGAATAATATTGTTCCTCTGGTTTGCTGGCTTGACTGTGATAATAAGATTATGGCTGTTGGCAATCATCATGTCTGTGACTTGGTCAAGAGTCTTTCCTGCTACTTCAATGCCATTAACTTCCAGGACTTCATCATTCACAGCCAGCAAGCCTGTGCTCTCTGCTAAGCCCCCAGGAACCATACGAGAGATGAAGATACCGGGTACTTTTTCCAGTCCATGAGGAGTAACTCTTACGCTGGTGCCATCGCGAATGTAAAATCCTAAGGGTTTCTCACACCCGTGTCGATACAGCCTCACTCTCCTGTGCGTTTCAGGAAGAATGTCCACATCAATGATGGAAGACACTGGTCTAAAATCATGAGGCATGCTGATGTTAATGTGAGGACGCCGTCGGAGGTTGTCATTGCGGAGTGTCACCAGAGCCTTCTTCTTCCTCGATAGCGTGTTGGTCCCAAAATTGCTGTAGTCCACTTCATCTGAAAGAGAAGCAGTACCGATGTATATCAATCAAACAGAATAATTCAATCTGCAGGGCATTTTACACTTAAATTTGGTTCAGAGAAGGCACACTCTTTATAATATGGAAAAAGACGAAATTAATTCTCCCACTTATTCTAACCTTTGTTTCATTTTATGTCCATCAGCACAACATTCAGAACGAATGAGTTGTTTATAATTACTACCCACACTTCCATGTTTTGGGGAAAAAAACCTTTTTCTGAACTCCTGTTTCAGCTATGTAGTATGCAATTACTTGCTGCAGGCCTGATATACATCTTAGACATGAGACTGTATTTTCAGAGTTGGATTCTAATTTTATACATACATCTCAAGTGGGCAAGGAGCGTATTCCTAACCTGAAAGTCTGAATTAGGGTGCATTTTAATACTCAATACATAGCCTTAACTGATAGCAGGCCTTAGGTACAAACATGATAGCAGAGTGCAAGAGAGTAGTTGGATACGTTTTTTGCCTAGCCTTTGTTAGTTAATATGCATCTCTTGGTACATCACTTTTCTCTTTGGAATATTTTACTTCATTTCAGCTGAACTTGACAGCAATAAAAAGTGCTAAAAGTGCTAGATAACAAAAGGTTCTGTGTAAGCAAGCAGCCTGGCAGAAAGAGATGCAGGGAGAAACTGCTCTGCTGCCTAGTCCGTATGCTAAACATCATAGAATGGACATGGAGTCCTCCCTTGAGAGGAAGATCCATGGGAAAGCTGCCTTTCTAGGGTCTGCAGTTTAAGGAAATGTTTAAATATTTTAGTCTCTGTAGCAGTTATTTCAAGGGCATTGCAAAGTAATCACTTTTAAATCATCCAAGTAAAAAAAGTTATTCCATATAAGCAGCTCATGTTGTGCTTTGCATAAAAAACACTCAAGACATGAAGTTGTTAGTGTACAAATTGCGTCACTGCATTTCCCATTAAAAATACTGTGCATAGTTTAAACATGAAACATGCACTAGCTGGAAAATTATTTCATGGGGAGTTTAGCATGATAACACTTTTCAGATAAACTAACAGACTT